CGTAAAAACAATGTCAAGGCCCGCGTTTGATGTCCAGCGTCGCGCGATGCAGGAAGTCGTCATCGAACCAAAATTGTCACCACCTACAATGCCAACATTGGATGATGGTATCATAACAATTTTCTACAGTACGAATATGAGTGGGTCGTACTGTACGAATACTGCCAAAATTGTTTACCCACATACAACTCTTAGAGAGTGGATGTAACACTGATGCGCCCTTTGGCTGAGCCCAACTTGGTCAGGATGACCCACACCAAGTCAAAAAGAGCTTCATTGGTTGGTCAAATTTGTCACTTCATGGTCACTTCATTTCTTTGAGTGTAAGGTCTCGAGATGAAAATACTTTCTTAAGCTGTCTCCGGCGTTAAGCAATACTTTTTTGCTGCTTAACTCCCTGATTTACGTGGAAAATTGGGAATTGATTTTATTTTTTCCAGTCTGAAATAATTATATGACCTAAAATAAATTTGTATGGTTAACGGTGAGACTTTAGTATAAAAATTTCCGTGTGGTATTTTAATGGCAAATGTCTTTGTAAAATGTTGATGGATTTATTTTGGTTAATGGTTTCCACTCATTGTATCAGCAAATTTCCTCAAATAGTTTCGGGATCGTAGTATTATCGGGCTATGTCTATAGACGAGTATACGATTTTTATTTATGTGTTGAACAAAATACAGATATATCATACCAGATCATGCCGGTGCACGATAAATGCCGTAACACTGTCGAAATCGTTTTTTTGTTCACAATATTAAACACGATATTCCGCAGATTTTTCGAATAAATTTTTGCCTCTGGTATGTACTAAAGTTTCGTAAGTTGTATCCGTTGCCTTGGAGTGACTCATGTTTAATCTAATCGAGTTTCGAGTCGCGTGTGACTGTGAGACTTGCATCAAAGGTCAAGTTCCTGAGCCCAAGGAAGTCAGCGATGCGTGGACACAGTTTATATATACCCTGAACTTCAGACTAAATGCAAGGTCGAATTAGGTAAGGCGTATCTACGTAAAATGAAAACGTATACGTTTGTATCTTCGTAAAAGATTTATTATTTCAATTTGCTTCGTCAGAACTGGTATTTTATTGTCATGAACAGGTACTGAATTGAATGCTTTGATTGAGAGTATTTTTTTAATACTCTAGGTTATTTGTATTTAGCCCGTATATATGTATATTTTTTAAATAGTTGTGTATTAACACCAGTATTGACTAAATGGGTTAATTTTTCTGGACTTCTATAAAAATACTCTTTTTTAAAATACATACATATTTCTAATATTTGTCCGCCTTCGATATTTTATCGTGCCACGCCAAAATTTCGGTCGGTGTACGAACGTGCAAAATTAGGAGTGAATATAAGAGTGTTGGAGACACTAGTGAAACTCTCCGTAACTTCTACACTCGAACCAAAAATGCACCTACGTTGGCTCATAGACACTCGATATACCAAGCTCATCTCTGTCCTGAAACATCGTGCGCTTGTCTGACCGGAAATCTTGAATTCTTGGAAGGTGATCATTGCGCTCGTGACTCTAAACACGACCGCTGTGCGCTAGGACATATCGCTTCACTACTTTTATGACTGCACCGTAGCAGATAGTGCCGTGTTATTTTTAGCAGGATGTTCCGCGTAGTTATTTCTTAGCAGATTGTGTCGTGTATTTATTATCATCACATCATGCTTATAATAAAGTAACATAGACTGACAAGCGTATTCTTCGGCTGCGTGGGCCTGCAGTAGTGCCATCGCCATTTGTTGTCTTGAGTTCAAAATTTGGAGACGATTAGGCGACCACTTTACTTGCCTGTACATGGAATAAGACTCCCAACAGTCCGCTGTTCTCGTTCTCATTAATGCCTCTTTTATTTAACTGCTTTATTTCCTGTGTTTATTTTTTTACGTTTTCGTTGAGTTATTCAGCGATTGTCGTGCCCTTGGAATAAGCACTTTATTAGGAGGACCCTCGACGCCTGAGGACGTCACGCCCAAGACAGGGGGCCAATTAGACGCGCCGCTTCCGTTTGCTGCTGCGCGCCGCGGCTCGCAGGAGAGGGGGAGGGGGGCGAGCGGGTCCCCGCTGTCGTGGCGTGTAAGGGAAAGCCACGAGGGAGCGAGAGACCTGAATTCCAGGGCAATTATAAGAATTTTTCTTTATTAGAATACCTCTCTATGAGAATACGATTAATGTTATTTAATATGTGTGTGAACAGATACATGCTCTTAAATGATTTTAAATTTGCGATAATTTGGAAATCAGCACTGCTGGATTTTCTTGAAGTGTGGCCTGACTTGAATTGTGAGACCGTATTCTCACGTTCAAAGGATACTTAAAAAATGATGCATGAAATAATGATATTCTTCATCCTGATGCACAATCTAACTAAAAAGGAATTGTTGAAGAAGGAGTAGAAACGATGCGATAGCTGACGACTATCAAGTTTTGTAAACCTTTGGCGTAATTATTTGCATGGATTATTCTTGTCTGAACGCTGTTTCTATACAACACTCTTATATTGTCAGTTCATATCTTCATGATAAATCTGGGGGGGGGGTAAACGATGTAATGCATGACTGAATTTATTCTGCCCCGTGTGGCCTTGTATCAAAAAGCACACAGGTGGAGCCTGGAGGGTACACACTGCCACGCAGATATTGCACGTGTCTTGGCCTTTGCAATGTATTCGTTCTCTGATTACATTTAGTGTAGTATTTGCTTTTCTAGCTTCCTGCGTTCAAGCTGCTTCAATGAGAGATGTCAGGAAGATAAGTCTAAAGATCCTGAAGCACACGTTGCCGACATTAGACACATTAATTATTTTGCATAAATTCTGATACTCTGAAATATTTGGAACTTTTAATTTCTGTAGGCTTTTATTACATTTGGTGCCATATTTCTCCCATTGCCATCCCTCTCTTTCTCGTTGCGTTCCATAACTTTATGTTATAATGATCTGACGCTGATCAGTCAATTCAGCTTGCTTAGCTGTGCCCTTGGCAGCGCCTCGCCGTATTGTTCTCTGGACTGAACAGGGAAACGTTGCGGGTGACGCTCTTTATTAGCACGGCGCTTTTTATTACTAAGATCTGAGAAACTGTTATTATGGGGTCGCTAAACGAGTTTTTTTTTTGCAACTAAACTGTTTTTTTTAGCAGTCGGGCTCTAGGTTTGAAGTATTCGTCCAGAATTAGTTTTATCATCATATAATCACGGATTCAAATCATTGATTAATTCAATCGCGTAACAAGGAAAACCACTGCAACACAGTATAGAATATTATTGCTATCGCTGTGTCCATAACGGTGTGGAATAACACGAGTGTTATTGTGCTTGTTATCGTTTTATTATCACAGGAACCTGGATTTACTGCTGCAATTATCGTAAGGACAATCAAGCTGCCGGCATGGACTGTCCGTACTGCCGGCATGGACTGTCGTGCTGCTGGCATGGACTGTCCGTACTGCCGGCATGGACTGTCGTGCTGCCGGCATGGACTGTCGTGCTGCCGGCATGGACTGTCCGTACTGCCGGCATGGACTGTCGTGCTGCCGGCATGGACTGTCCGTACTGCCGGCATGGACTGTCGTGCTGCCGGCATGGACTGTCGTGCTGCCGGCATGGACTGTCGTGCTGCCGGCATGGACTGTCGTGTTGCCGGCATGGACTGTAGTGCTCCGGCATGGACTGTCGTGTTGCCGGCATGGACTGTCGTGCTGCCGGCATGGACTGTCGTGTTGCTGGCATGGACTGTCGTGCTGCTGGCATGGACTGTCTTGCTGCCGGTATGGACTGTCGTGCAGCCGGTATGGACTGTCGTGCTGCCGGCATGGACTGTCTTGCTGCCGGCATGACTGTCGTGTTGCATAATCAGCCGACTGTGCAGCTGTGGTTGCATGCAACAGGTGTTGCATGAGGCCAGTTTACACCAGCAGCTGATCAGGTGCACCAGCAAAGCTTACCTATTGTTCGGAACAGGTGCACTCTGTTTGAACAACTGAATCCTTGGCAAATCTACGGAAAGATTTGATAGAATTACAATGAAATTCTATTTTGTTTGCCACTTGTTCCCTGTTGAACTTCTTAAGAGGAGCGTCTAGGGTAAAATTTATCTCGGCTATTTACAAACGGATCATTCTGAAACTTGGTACACATATGTAAAATAGAATTCTAAGACATTTTTGTTCGTGTGAATTTTTCGAAAAAAAATGAAAGAAAACGTGAAATTCTTAGGGAGCGACTGCATGCACACCTCCTCATACGACGCCAGGCGGGTAACTAAGGTGCACTTCAAGCACTCTATTTAAAGTGCTCGCAGCGAATTTCCTCCCATTCTATTTGTTAAAGAACTACCCCCCCCCCCTCCCTTTCATGATCTGTCGTGAACGCATAAATCAACGTACAGAGATGGTTTTGGTACCGTTGGATAGATCAGAATGTCAGCTTTAAGATGAGACTAAAAACCGGAAAAGCCAAAATCAAAAATTTTACCCTAGACGCTCCCCTTAAAAAATTTAGCTCTATTCAACATAGTTCTGTTTGACTCTAACTTTATAAAAATATGCTATCAGTGGTCATGTTTTAATATATGCCTAGTATTAGTAAATAAATGGGATATTCAAACAATTTAAAGTAATATTGAAACTATTAATTACAAATTATTTTCCAAACATTTCGGCTTGCTCTTAAATTGTTCTTGATTACAGTAGTTGATCAACGTGCTGTTCAAAACTGTAAACGGCACCGAAATAGTTGAGATTCAACAAGATTCCTCGCTATTCTGGACACGAATTATTCCTAGCTTGTGTGCGTCAGGTTCCGCTGTGTGGTTGTTGGCTTGAAGCAGGAGGTTGGCCGAGCTTGGGACAGGAATCTTGATGTGAGCCATGAATAATTTACCAAGTTATTCATACCAACCAAATATCATCAATCATGAAATTTGGATTTCCTCTTGCGATTACAGATTTCTGTGGCTAATCAAACGTATTCTTCTTTTCAGAGTACCGGTATTTAATTTTTAGTTTATATATATTGATCGAAACCACTTAAAGTTCAGAAAGTAAAGTAATGAGCACTCTAAGCTGAACGAAAATAACTCAGATCCTACTTTGTTCTTTCAACTTGACAAGAGTGAACAGCCTGCTGGTGGTGCGTGCTCTGGAGTCTGATCTGTTGATGTGATGTTAGTCATGCATCACAGGAGGTTGTACGTGCTGCGCAAGTGTGGCCTGTTGGAAGCCAGTCGCTGCACCTCTCCCAATTCATCACATTAGTTCACTGAGAGTCTTGCTTCTCAGGGTTTCTGCTGCGCTGTACTTACGTTTTACGTTGATGTTGAATTTTTTTAACTTTTCTAGTGTATGTGTCGGTAGGTAGCCTTGGTCTTTATTTTAATTGAGTAACCCGTGAAATGTGTTTGTGAGAAAAGCTCATTGAGTGTTCCACTGTTCAGTGTCAATTCCTGAGGGATAAGTGCCTAGTGTTCCAAGTTATTGTCGACTGTGACGATTCAAATATTATTGATTTGCACAAAATTGTCTATTAAGTGTTGAGTGAGAATTTGTCAAATTTCTTCATCGCGGTTTTACAATTCGACTGTGCATGAATTAAGCTATCATCGCTCCGTTCGGTATTGGCTGCATCTCGTGACTGAGAAAGTTGATCTTTCGCTCGTCTCATTGAAATGTCAAGTGACACCTAGCAGCGTTGGTCCGAAGTATTCTTTTTAGAAGTGCACTGCTCATGTAGATACTAGGAAATAATAACTTTTCTCAGTTCTGTTATATTTTTAAGTGCACCATTGATGTTATAAATGAAGACTGCGTCGAACTTTTAGTCGAAATCTCTTTAGAATTAAGCAAGCCAGTACAAAACTTTTGTGGCAAGGAAGAAGCTAACACAAACCGGCGGGATACTTTAACCTGACGGCACTTTGAACCATACTTTCATACTTTTCTATTATCTGAAAATCTCTTCCTTATCTAAAGAACTTTGAGTTGAAATGATGCCTTAAGAGTGATCTACAATTTGCCAACCGCGACGCTAACTTGAGACGCTGCTTCTGGTTGCTGAAAGCTTCGATATGCCATGTTGGCTGGCAGTGGTGGTGGTGGAGGTGGTGGTGGTGGACAGGTGGTGCACAGTAACGCATTGGTGAATAATAATGGCGCCCAGCTGGTACACAACAACACACACTTGAGCAACAATGGCAGCGGACAATTTCATCCCCAAGCGCAGTCCATTTCTTCAGGGATAAGGTCCTCACCTAATCACCATGACACCAGTAGAGGACAAAACGCGAATAAAAGCAACGTTAGCGGCAGCAACGCGCCGTCTCCGCAAGGTGGAGCTTCCCTCAACGCCATCCCCAACCCGAGGGACGACCACAGCCCCAGGCTGGGGGTGAACGGCGTACTTTTCTCCCTGGACGAGATAACACGCACCGCGTCGCCCACGCGCTTGTCGTCCACGGCGTCGCCCACACGCTTGTCTACCGACAGCCTCGTCAGCACTGGCGTCCATCACGGTCCCGGCGCCAGAAACGGACACGCCAACACCAATGGGTCCCTTGGGTCCCTGGGGCCCGAGGCCCGACCTGGCACTACGGCACTGGCTGACGAGAGGCCCAAGGACCCCAAGCCCCAAAGATTGGCCCTGCTGGGGCTCGTCGTCGCGTTCGTGGGGACGTTGCTGGCTCTCATCGCCGTCTGTACGTCTCAGTGGGCGCGCGCTGCTGGTGAGTAAACCTTCCATTACTAACGGACTTCATGATATTTTATGCTGGCTTTGGTTTTTAAGGTATCAGTATAATTATTCTCAACATTTATGTCAGGTTCTTATTTATTTAGTTTCTCTTTATTTTCTTCATGTTCCCTCCTGATTTATTATGTTTGTCTAGCATGCAAGGTCGGTTACATTAATTTTTCGATTAATTTTCAAAACTGATTTGCGTCCAGTTGCGCTGAGCGTTGACATCTCGCTGTCTCGACGTTACTTGTAACTTGACTATGCATGCTTAGGATGTCGTAACATAATTCAGTACTGCGATCTTAGCAGTTTCCTAATATTTCGTTCGTAAGTTATTCTCTGTTGGTAGTAATTTTTTTCCGTATTATGATCATAACCTCTTGTCAATATTACGATCGTTACTTGTTCTTAATATTACGATCGTAACTTGTTCTCAATATTACGATCGAAATTTGTTCTCAATATTACGATGGCAACTTGTTCTCAATAATACGATCGTAACTTGTTCTCAATTTTACGGTCGTAACTTGTTCTCAATATTACGATCGTAACTTGTTCTCAATTTTACGATCGTAACTTGTTCTCAATATTAATATTACGATCGTAACTTGTTCTCAATATTACGATCGTAACTTGTCCTCAATATTACGATCGTAACTTGTTCTCAATATTACGATCTTGCCAAAACTTCAGCTTACAGTCACCTGATTCCCTGCATTTATTAACACCGCCGCCGGATGCTCGCTCCCAATGCATTGTGGCGCGAGAAGTGATTTTCATATCACGCTTTCCCAGCCTCGCTGTCGGGAGTTGTTGTTGTTGTCATTTAACCTGCTTCTGCAGACGACGGCTGCAGTGATCTCGGTGATAATAATAATCAAAGACCAATGTAGTGATTTATCGTATAGAATTTATTGATTTATCTCTTCTTATTGTAGTTACTGAGTTACGGTCTACCAGCTTCCTGACAAGGATAAATTCAATTATTCCAACTATCAAAAACTTGTAGCTGATGTACCGGTATATGGAATATACTGACAACTGAATATGCTGTTCCGTCCTGATATACTGTAGCTGTTACGAAAAAACTACAATATGATTTGACTTGGATTATTTAACAGTTCTTTCTGCCACGCAGTTACAAATGGATGTTAAGCTATCAGCTGTCATGATGGGAAACCGTTCTTGTAATACCGAGTCTTCAACAATTTTTCTAATACCGTAAAATGGGGTAACTTAGACCACTTTTTTTCTTATAAATGATGCCATTTTCTTACTAGCTAAATTAAACTTGAATTGAAACATGCAGAATACAGGTCTATACTGTAGCTTCACTCACCATAAATTGCTGGCTCCTGCCTTTCATAGTCTTTATGTAATTTCAAAAAAAGTGATGGTCTTTGTTACCCCAGCTCTTGGGGTAACTTAGACCGGGTGGTAAAATCAATTATATTTTTTGGTAAAATAACTCCAAATAACTACAGGTTTTGGTGCATTGTAGTAGAACTCTTCTAGTTACATATGCAAATGACAAACTTGAGGAAAGTGTCATAGTTTGCAAATGGGGGGCGCCACCCCATAATGAGGGAAATGTGACTACCTAATGGCAGCCCTGATGGGGTAATATAGACTGGCTTGGATATTAAGTTAAAATTACCATATATAAGACTCTGTAGAGTCTGAAACATAAAGAAAAAACATAAATAGGCTGTCAAACATAAAATATGTTATATATGGTAATTTTATATTAACTTCCAAGCCGGTCTATGTTACCCCGGGGCCGTTAGGGCTGACATTAGGTGGTCTAAGTTACCCCATTTGGGGGCGGCGCCCCCCATTTGCAAACTATGACACTTTCCTAAAATTTGTCATTTGCATATGTAACTAGAAGAGTTCTACTACAATGCATCAAAACCTGGAGTTATTTAACCAAAAAATAAAAAAATTGGAGGGGGTACTCTGACAGGCTTTAAATAATAGCTTTTTTTCGTGGGTCACATTTTTAATTTTTTAACCTATTAGATATGCAAACTTTTCAAATCTTTCTATTGTGTTATGTAGCCTCAGTATTAGGCCTTTAATGCCCATTGACAAAATTTTTCTATGTCAAATAGTTTTTGAGTTGTGGGGGTTTTTGTAAAAAAAAAACGAAAAGTGGTCTAAGTTACCCCGCCAGTCTAAGTTACCCCATTTTACGGTACTCATTTATTTCTTAAGTCGTCCAGTGACTAGATATATAATGGCCGACAAGTTTAAACTATTCGGTTAAATGAGAACGTTATGCTCTCATCACTGAAGTGTTAATTTCGTTCATAATGTCTCCTCGTTGTACGACACACTAATTCGTGTAATGGAGGCTGAACTATGACTCGACCATGTTTAGTATAAATAGACCATGCTCCTCTAAATTCACAGAAATGTGAGATTTTTTCCAAAAAGCGCTGCACTTATTGCAATTGAGTGAGTTATCCTAACCCAGTTTGGTCCGCAAAAGGACATGCCATTGCCGAGTCCGATCTACTGCGGGTGGAAGAAAGTGTGTATTGGACAATATGACCGATTCAGTTTTCTAAGTGTTCGTAACCTATTGAGTCCTCGCGGATCCAATAAAGCTGTTAGTATTCGGAATCAATTTTGCTCCACACGCTTTTGTTGAAGTGAAGCGAATTATGTGGTATGCGAGAATCAATTCAATGCCAATAATTTTTTACATGCATTTATTCGAGTAAAACCACATTCCATACGGGTTGTTCATATCGTTAACCCATGCATTAAACTTTGAACAATAACACAGTGGCAAAGAGTTCGAGGGTGAAGATAAAAATGAACATAAGTTCGAGTTTCGTTCACTTTTTTCCTCACAAGAAATGCATGAGGATGGAAGCGTTGGGCAGTTGCGCAACACCTAAAAATGTTAGCTTTCTTATGTTGATCCTTCGATCGTTTGTAAACGCGGAACTTGTGATGCTTCTGAGTCACGTGAATTGCGTGAAATGTTGACCACGTGTAACAGAAAATGGTACTATATATGTGCCTTTTCAATCTACCACATTTCAATATACCGTGACAAGATTTTTCTCACCCCAATGTATATATTCATTTCATCATGTGATCAGTTGATGTCATTAACGGAGCTTAGTAAGGTATTAGACTAGGTAGGTATTCAGAGATTGGTATCGTATTCAAAGTTTGGTATGGTATTCAGAGCTTGGTATGGTATTCAAAGCTTGGTATGGTATTCAAAGCTTGGTATGGTATTCAGAGCTTGTACGGTATTCAAAGCATAGCACGGTATTCAAAGCTTAGTGTGGTATGCAATGCATGTTGTGGTATTCAAAGCATAGTATAGTATAAAAGCTTGGTATGACATGCAAATCATGGCATGATATTTAAAGCTGGGTATCAATTTTTGTGTTTTGTGGCTCATTTGTTCATTTCGATTTCCGTTACGTCATCCAGCTTGAATTGTAAACTTGATAAATTAACATTAAATTAAGGATAGGTAGCTTGATTATTATAATTGTTCTCATACAAGATATCTGAAATATCATTATAAATATGATAATTTCTTAGAATTATTAATTAGAAGATAAAAACTTGAAGGTAGTAGAGTTCAAAGATAACGTATCAGTCCGCCTTATGGAATGTTTAGTTGTGGAATGTCAAGGCAGTTGGAATGTGGCTTAAATGCCACGGTTTCCTTTTAAATATTTTTTAACATAAGAAAGAGATGAAGTTTACCATATATCACCTGGAAATTACCGTTGCAAATGACGACCATCTTCAATGTCTTACGGATATTCATTATCCGATTTTATCTCAAATACCCACTTCATTTTCCCGACCTTTTTACAGACTATTTTCTGCTACCAGGCATAACCTCTTTCCTGCATAGGCTACGCTGAGGCAATGATCAATTCGTGTACAATTTTTCTTTAAAATGCATTATTATGATGCAGAATGTATATAGAGTGTGCAGTGCATGGTCACGCAGGATCACGGTAACGTGGTTTCTTCGATTGTACGGATAAATGTTGGCAAATTACATCATAATTGCCACGTGAATGAAGCCTAATCGAGTCGTTCAAGCGAGCGTAGCGCCACAAAAAACTACTGCGTACAACTGTACAAGGCTCAAGTGCGTAATTTACGCCAGCGGACAGACGCACGCTGCCGACGATAGCGTAAGTACGCTGAGCGTCTTGCAGCGTAGGTTTTTGGTGTGAGACCTTGAAGAGTTAACGCTAGCAATGCTTGTGTGTATGAAGCTGCCATGGAAACCTGCACCGACGCTGTCATAGTATATACGTTTTCGTTCTCATAGATGTTAAAGAACGGCACCGTTTTTCCGCTACCTTTAATGATATATCTTCTTATTCGTCACGAAGACAAAGATTTTTTCTAGTTTTATTTATTGTTTGGCTAATTTAGCTTTGTTATTTTTGAGCCCGCATCATTGTTAGAGTTTTCCTCCTCGATGTCTTTGTGTCGTGTGGTCTCGTAGCCAGCGGCAGTTTCGTCAGATCGTCTCACGCACTTTGTTGCAAACACAATCAGCGCTGCCGTGGGCCGTTTCTTTTCAAGTCTGAACAATGCGAGACTTGGTGAATGCCGCCCGCCCCATGCAATCCAAGCACGTTCAATGCACGCGAGGCTCTTAGCCTGCACATTTCGGCACTCGATGGGCGCTGCATTTCAATGCGATTCCCCGTCTATAATCACTGCCTAGTGCTGATATTCACTTCACTCCGAGATTATTGTTGAGACCGCTTGATATCAAAACTGTGGTATATATGCAGGCTCCGTGAATGAGTATGAGTTCTGAAAGTCTGTTAATGGCTTAAAAAGTATTCCATAATTGGATGTGTTGGAAATAAATAATATAAATCACTAGTTCAATTACGAATGGTTGGCAAGTAATGTTAAGGGTCATCAACTTATTATGCGTCCTACGAGTATTTTACATTACTGAATGTTTGTTCTGGTTCC